ACTACACATACACAAAATATTACAAAATAGGTAATATGTGATATAATAGCTTAATAATTGTCTATTTCCTTGACCTTTTTTCCTGCCTTATATTTATCAGCATCTATTGCTTTCTTTGCTCTTGCTGTGCCCATAATCAGACCTTGTCTAAATGCAAAATGTATTAAAGGCATGACAACTTTGTGTAGGTAAACACTCTTATTCTGACCTTGAAAAAGAAGGTACTCTTTCTTTCACCAGCACCTCAAAACTAAGGTATCTGAAATCTCTCAGACTTTACTCTGAATTAATATCAGAAGCATTTTAAGCCATGAAACATTGTAAATATTTATACAGTAGTATCAAAATTAGCTCAAAATATATTCTAACCCATGCTTTAATTATACTCTGGGGCTTTAAAACATCAACACATTGTTAAAGACCCGAAAGGATAAATGTTATTCAGAATAGGAGAGGAGGTTTCACTTAAGACACAGACCTGGAGATTATAATTCCTGAATAAAAGGTGATAGTCAGACCTAAAGAGTAAAAATCTTGAGAAATTGTCAGTTCTCTCAGCAACATTTGTCAGATTTCCCTAAACAGAAGCTACGACAGAATCACAGAGCATGAAATAGCAGAAAGGTGAATAAAAGGGAAAAAAATGTAGCTTGTGCATTCAACTCGAGCCTCACTCAATTGTTTTCATATGGATTCTATAAAGGCATATATAAATACATAAAATAAAAACTTATAAATACACATTATTTTTGACAATGCACATAAATAGAAATATATCAACGAAAAAGTTCTAGAGATGAATGGCAGTAGCCACTGAATAAAAAGGTGAATTTTTTTGGGGCGCCTGGGTGGCTCAGTTGGTTGGGCGGCTGCCTTCAGCTCGGGTCATGATCCTGGAGTCCCGGGATCGAGTCCCGCATCGGGCTCCCCGCTCAGCGGGGTGTCTGCTTCTCCCTCTGACCTCTTCCCTCTCGTGTTCTCTATCTCTCATTCTCTCTCTCTCAAATAAATAAATAAAATCTTTTTTTAAAAATGTGAATTTTTTTTCACATGTTTTCACACAAGCAGGGTGAGCTGCAGCCAGAGGGACAAGCAGGCTCCATGCTGAGCAGAGAGCCTGATATGGGGCTCGATCCCAGGACTCTGGGATCATGACCTGAGCCAAAGACAGATGCTTAACCGACTGAAACACCCAGGTGCCCCATCAGTGTGAATGTTCTCAATACCACTCAACTGTACACTTAAAATGGTTAATATGGCAAATTTTATGTTATGTATATTTTATCACAACAAAAACATTTAAAGTTTATAGGTTTAAAAAAATGTTGAGGTAAAGTACATAATGTTGCTTTCTCAATTAAGGGTCAGATCATTTGGATAAATGTAACATATCATCACCACATGATACACAAAATAGCAATAATTAGTTACCCACTCAGACTAGTTTTTGAAATTATTTAGGGAACAATTTAAACATTTTAAGAGAATTTTAAATATAAATTAAAACATGAGGTTGATAATTTGTAGTAATATTTGTTTTCCTAAATAATTCTATTATCAATCCTATAGAGATGTTTAGCATCCTGATTTCATGCACTGGATAAAGTATTATAATGCCTATACTTAACGTTTTATAGATTATGGATGTTTTTCTAATGCATAAAAGCATTAAGTAAAAAAATACATAATATGCTAATATGACAAACATTTTAATGTTTTATAAATAATAAGTATAATGAGTATAAATGTTATTTGATGTCATAGATTTGGGACACTTTGGATGGATAAGTTGCTTAAAAGTCTGACTCTTGATTTCAGCTCAGGTCATGATTTCAGGGTCCTGTGCTCCGTGGGGAGTCTGCTTGAGATTCTCTCTACCTCCACCCATTCCCCCTCTCTGGTGCATACTGTTTCTCTCTCAAATAAATAAATCTTTAAAAAATGTTTTATAGATTTATCACGTTTGAGTTTTTTAAAATATTTAATAATCATTTGAAGTATATGTATATATGAAAGTATGTGAACTTTAATTCACAGTAAATAATTTCTAGTTAAGCCAAATAATTGCCAAATCAGCCAATTTTAAAGAGAATGATTATTTCCAAGCTTATTCCATAGAATGCATCAATTTATATTCCTTATAAATAAGCTTCCTATATTGTCTTGGGTAGAGATGTTAGGAATGTTTGTCAAAAGGCAATATCACTAAGGAAATATGTTTTATTTTCTCATTCCAAATGAATAATAAATGGTTATATTTATCTCTTCATAAATATTGAGGCACCAGGAGTTCTGATGAGACTCTTCCTTTAAAAATTATTTTAAAGTGTATTCTACACTCCAGTGTGGAAAATTTTAGATAATATTAGTTTTTCATGCATTTTATTTAATAACAGCAAAAAGAATCATAAAAGGAAGCTATATGGCTGGAACAAAGGTAGACTATTTCTGAGAAATTGCAATTATCCTTGATTTTTGATTGACTCTTATGTACCACAAAGTGATAAATTTGACGAAAAGTCTTCTTAATGGTTTCTGTGCATGAAGAACTAGTTATCATTCTATTAATGAAGTGCCTCATCATCCACTCGTTTCCTGTCTAGTGGTCTGAGGCATTGTTAGTATCAAGACTTCTGTCTCCAGTGAAAATCAATGCTTCAAAAAATCTATTTCATTGTTTATGCCAGAATTGTTTCACATTTAGTTCTAAATAATAAGCATTACATAAAATATAAATACATAGTTATTAAAGGCATATTATGAATTTACACACTCTCCTGTAAGATAATACTTTCTAAAGGCATTAAAATTCATCTCAAGTTGATATTGAACAAGTAAAGCCAAGGGGACAGAAAATGTTTTGACTCATATAATTATTGTCTGTCTGGTATTAATCTGACTATAATGATTATGTTCTTAATCTATTCTCTATCTTAAATTCATCTTTGTATGATTTTCTCTTACTGTTCAGTTAGATACTGACTACATTTATAGTTATTTCATCAATATTAATTCCTTCTTCTTTCTTCTGTCACACTTATTCTGAGTACATAAATTCACCTATTCTATAGAATTAATCACTACAAACAACTAAGTGTACTCTAATACCCAACCTCCCCTCCACCAATCTCTGCACACACTGCTTTTTCTTTTTTCCTTCCCCTCTGACTCTGAGGAGCGCTTCTCAGAGGCCGAAGAGATCTAACACACATATATTGCTCTTAATTCTGTTTCTAGTTAGATTATCCATTATGGGAAATGCGGAAAAGATGGGTAATCATAGAAGAAGAAATAATCCATAATGTTTTCATCTAATAAAAGGACTTATTATATTTTAGATAATTTCCCTTCAATATTTGTCTATATATTCAGACTGTTGTTCAAACTGTCTTCGTTCTTCTGGAATTTTGTACCATCATAAACGTCATTGAACATCTTCCCCAAATTCTTTCCTCAACAACTTTTCTCTTTTTTTTCTACAAATATATATGATTTCCCACAGTTAAGCAACAACCACAAAGTTCCTTAACACAGATACTGTCAAATTTCTTATCTTCATTGTCATACTTCTTGAAAATAACTCAGAGTATAGGTGTAACTTCTCCATCATACACAGTTTTCACATTTAACACTCTTTTAGTTTCTGACCCTCTTTCCAAACCAAAAGAGCTTTTATGTCCTAAACAAACCTTTCTAGATTCTCTTCTTAAGAGAGTGATGCTGTCCTTATTACAAACTACTCTTTTTTAGGTTTACAAAAGGAAGCAACTTCCTGCCTTATTCCCATAACTTTTTGCTGGTTTCTGTCCCTCTATGGGCTTAATGAGAAGAGTAGAAAATGAGAGAATAACAGGTTCATTTGCAGAAAGTTTTCACAGGTTCTCTGTTCTTATTTAGTTGACTTTCTGTTTCTAAGTGACATTAAAACTTGGCTAATCATTAATTAACCTGCATCTAATTGGTATGCCAGATTTTAGCAAATATTTATGGGGAAATGTTAATTTTGAAATGTTAAGCCTGTTTGAATACACAGTGTCTGAAATTAAGACTTTTCAAATTGATATCATTCCTTAAAATTTATTTACAAATTAAAAAAGTAACATTAGTACATTAACAATTTATTTCATTATTATAACCTAATGTAATAAATAGTATTGAATTCATTCAGAAATATAAGATAATGTGCCATATAAGAGTTTATAAAATAGCTGTCTTTGTGGAGTTCTGTTTTAACTGTGATATGGAATACCTATTTTGATGGTCAGCATGGCCGGATCTCCTTAAAAACTATCTAGTGTTCAAAAAACAGATTCTCTAGAGAAGAGGGACCTCCTTTTATTTGAAAGGGAACACAACATCTTCTATGTGCATAATATCCTGCCCTTTCTATACTTTTCAAAGATTCTTATATATTTGGCTCTGAAAACCGCCATTCAAATGTTTTGACTTAAAAATTAGACTAGTTTCAAAAGCATAGACCAGAAGAATTAGGGATCTTTGTGTTTCAAGTCTGTCAACCCTTTTTTCCCCTCTGCTAGACGCAAAAGTCTCTATTCATCCAAATCCAAATCAATTATCCATAACTTTGATAAATACAGCAATAGGCTCCGTGATCCTACGGCATGTTGATAAAGCCCCACACTCCATATAATCGAACCTAAACAAGAAAATTTGAAATGAGATGCTATTATATGCGGAAGAATCAAAAAGAAAAAAAATGCCCAGGCTTTTGAAAATTTACAGCAAATCACATAGGGAATCTCTAACTTGAGATTGGAACTTGACACATGTATGTGAAATGGCTTACATTTACACAGGGGTCAATCCAGAGGAAATGGTTCTGCAGCCACAAAGGAAGATCCTATCTTCCTTTGCTTCATGTACAGCACTCTGAATCTTTACTGCAGTTTTAGAATAGGTAACTTCCCATGCCAAGATTTAATTAAAGTTTAAATATTTGAAAGGGGTGGTGATAATGTTGTCTCTAATAAAAAATTTACCTGTCTTGGGATCAATAGAGAAATAAGGTTGTCCCTGAAGAATGCTATAAACGACTCTGGCACTGTTTCCATAGGTCGGGTCATCCGCGTCTGTGGCCTTGACCTGGAGCACATATGCACCTGGAAAATAAGACAGTATGACTCTAGCATCTTTGTTTTACAGAGCTCAAGGTCATGGTTTTTAATCTGCTGGACTCCATTTTTTTTTTTTTTTGGAATTTGGCATTACTCAGTGATTCTGAGAATATATGGTGCCTCTGAGAATGATGTAATTATGATAACCAAAATGTTGGGCAACAATATAGCTGTTAGTGCAAATGATACATATTCTAAAAATCTATTTTAAAAGCTATGTTCATTTCCAGTAGCTAGATGATTGAACTGAAAGTCATCATGATAGCTTTATTGATTTATACACCAAAGGAAACATGACACTGCTTACATTAGCTCATTTGCTTACTATAGATGCTCTAATTTCATGATTAGGTTATCAATAGAAAAACTAAAAGGTTTGAAGATTTACTCTAGAGGCTGTAAGTAATTTGCATTGCTTTTTAAAAATCAACAACTACATACTAGCAGTAGGAAGACTTTAATTAGGACAGAATATTTGAGAAATTGAGGAACCAAAACTAATTGCAATTACAGCTCCAGGAGCACCTCTAGGCCTCAAGACCGAATTAACCTAAGGATACAGTGACATAGGGAAACATTAAAGACAACCCAAATTCTCTGTATCTTTTCTCATGTTTTGAATAAGAGAAGTTAAAGGGAGATTTTTCTTGTATCCTTGTCTTATACTTTCATGGTCACAGTTCAGTCTTCCCTAAGAAATTTTTGACTATATCTTCATATCATGTTCAGCATTATTATACTGAGCTGAGAACAAAGTAAAACAAAAATTATCAAGTTCGATATAAATAAAATCAATATGTTGCTAATGGTTAGAAGGAAATCTCTACTGAGCACAAAGGGAGTGATGCGTACACCCAAAGTTATAAGATGGACAGAACGCTCCTATTCTTGGAGGCATTCAAAGTAACTGCTCAACTTTGGGAACAAAGGTTTCTCCTTTCCAATTAGTTATTCATTCAGGCTTTTCCTTTCAGGCAGTACAAAACTGGAAAAAACTAAATCTTAAAGGTTTACTTGCAAACTAAGAGAATGAAACATCTCTTCCTCTCTACCCTTTTGTCTGTTTGTTAGGATAGTAAAAAAAAAAAAAATTAAAAATGATAACTTTTAGTAGACATTCAATAGCAAATGGCATTGAGTAGGCATTCAATACCAAATGCTTTATTTTAAGAATGCTTTTGGTGAGTTCTAGCTATATCAAGAGATGAATGATAGGTTTTATTTCAACAGTCTTTCCCAGGAAAGGAAACTTCCAGAAGGAAAGTAGGCAAACATTTCTGAGATGTCAAGAATGATAATGCCCCTTATCATCCACCATCACCATCATGATCATTATCAATACTTACAACATCATTAATAATTATTTGACAAATAGGAATTAAGAACCTATATTAGATAGTCATCAAAACTATGTTATCCCTAATGTTGTAGGAATGAACGGTTGCAAGACTAACTTCCCCCCTTTCCTCCTTTCTGTCACACGGTGATTTTTCTGGTATGACCTGGATCATTATCATCACTGCATTGTACATGGGCTGTATAGGCAAAGTCGGCAAATATTAAATAATTCCCCAATCCTAGGTAGAAATGTTGTAGTTAAAAAGCTGTGGATTATTCTTCTTTAAAGATATATTTGGGGGCATCTGGGTGGCTCAGTCGTTGGGAGTCTGCCTTCGGCTCAGGTCATGATCCCAGGGTGCTGGGATCGAGTCCCGCATCGGGCTCCCTGCTCCACGGGGAGTCGGCTTCTCCCTCTCCCACTCCTCCTGCTTGTGTTCCCTCTCTCGCTGTATCTCTCTCTGTCAAATAAATAAATAAAATTAAAAAAAAAGGTATATCTGAAGAAAAATTATCTGCTAAGAAATGTTTTGTGACAAATTTAATAAATTATAACCTAACTCACACCATATGTTCAATAAAAAAGACAAAGATGTATAAAATAGGGAATATTTCTTAATACACTCTTTTAAATATTTGAGTTTAAATTTAAAAATGATTAACATAAAGCATTTAAAACTCCTTTTGGAGGAAACTATTTTTCTGTATATTAGTTAAGGTTCATATTAATATTAAAAACAAAAATGTAAAAGGAATGATACTATATGATTCATCTTTGTCTTTCTTATTGAGCATATGGTTATAGCAGCATTATCTATAATACCCAAATTATGAAAACAGCCCAAAATCCATCAACTGATGAATGGATAAAGAAAATGTGTGTGTGTGTGTGTGTGTGCGTGTGTGTCTCTCTCTCTCTCTCTCTCTCACACCCACACCCACACACACACACACACACACACACACACACAGGAGTATTACTCAGCCATAAAAATGAATGAAACCTTGCCATTTGCAATGACATGGATGGAACTAGCGAGCATTACACTAAGCAAAATAAGCCAGTCAAGACAAACACCATATGATTTCACATATATATGGAATTTTTTAAAAAGGATTTTACTTATTTATTTGAGAGAGAGAGAGTGAGTGAGTGAGAGAACACACAGGCAGGGCAGAGGGAGAGGGAGAAGCAGACTTCCCTGTTGAGCAGAGAGCCCGAAATGGGGCTCGATTCCAGGACCCTGGGATCAGGACCTGAGCCAAAGGCAGATGCTCAATAGACTGAGCCACCCAGGTGCCCCATATATGTGGAATTTAAGAAATAAATGAGCATAGGGGGGCACCTGGGTGGCTCAGTTGGTTAAGCAACTGCCTTCGGCTCAGGTCATGATCCTGGAGTCCTGGGATCGAGTCCCGCATCGGGCTCCCTGCTCAGCAGAGAGTCTGCGTCTCCCTCTGACCCTCTTCCCTCTCGTGCTCTCTCTCTCTCTCATTCTCTCTCTCTCTCAAATAAATAAATAAAATCTTAAAAAAAAAAAGAAATAAATGAGCATAGGGAAAAAAGAGAGAGGCAAACCAAGAAACAGATTCAACTATAGAGAACAAACTGGTGGTTACCAGAGGGTAGGTGGGTGGGGAGATGTGTTAAATAGCTGTTGGGGATTAAGGAGGGCGCTTGTGATGAGCACAGGGTGATGTATGGAAGTGTTGAATCACAGTATTGTACATCTGAAACTAATATTACACTGTATGTTAACTAACAGGAATTTAAATAAAAACTTAAAAAAAAAGAGTGCCCACTCAGTTACAGTAGAAATTATCTTCAGCTTAGTGAAAAGATTATTCACGAAGAACCATATGTTATCTGAGAGCTCTTAGAACTGCCTCTATAGGTGCTTACAAGGACACAGTTAAACATCATTATATCAGCTTGTTTTGCTGGATGCTCCACGACATCTTACAAACTGATGCAAAGGACGGAGATCCCCTTCATTGGGCAGACTCAGTTATTATCTGGAGCATGTAAGTCTCAAAATAATACCTTCTGCAGTGCTTGGATGGTACAGCAGTTCCTGACCCTGTTAAACACTAAATACCCAAGAGGTGGGAGCAGGAGGTTACACCTGGGAACACCTTTAATATGCAACAAAGAAAGAATATAGTCAATGATGGCCGCAAAACCTGGAGTAGTCTGCTGGTACGTAGCAGTCATCTTGGGATTTATTCTCTTATCACCCAAATTCAGAGTGACAATGTAACCACTCCAAATGTTGAAGTGCAGAGAGAATGAAACTCACAGAGAAATCATTCCTTTATACCCAGCTGGAGACAGAGAGTACAATATGCAATTGAGAATATTGAACCAATTAATTTTCCATGTAACACTGCTCTGATCGGTAGTAAATTAATTCATGTAATTTTTTAAAAATACAGCTATTATGAAAAAAGGTTATTTTATAGTAATAGTTAAATTCTAAATTTCAGGCAGTCACTCTCTATATAAGTTAATATTATATATATGTGCACATATGTACAAGAGCAAGGGACAGGAAAAGTTAACAGTCAGAGTTATAGAAATATCACCTAGAAGGAACAGTCTTCAGGAGAAGTCCATTTGATATAAACTGCAACTAAATAAGGGTTTCACTAAAATACCTAAATACTTGAGAGTTAATATGAGAACCAATTTGTATAGAATTTTTAGTGTGCATGTATGTATATGTCAAAATATATTTGAAAAACTAGTTGCATTTTGTAAATTCACAGTTGTAATATGATGATTTCAGGGTTTTTTTTTAAGATTTTATTTATTTATTTGACAGGGAGAGAGATAACGAGAGACGGAGCACAAGCAGGGGGAGTAGGAGAGGGAGAAGCAGGCTTCCCGCCGAGCAGGGAGCCTGATGCGGGGCTCGATCCCGGGACCCTGAGATCATGATGTGAGCCAAAGGCAGATGCTTAATGACTGAGCCACCCAGGCGCCCCTCAGTTTTTTTTCATATGAGAATGTCCTTTATGTCAACAAGATTGGGCTTATATAAAATGGTAGAGAGGTGGGAGTAGAACTGAGCCCTAAGTCACAATTTCTGCCCAAGTAGATATTAACTTGCTGATTGATTCATTTCTTCTTTCAATCAACAAATGTTCAGTGGTACATTCCATATACCAGGTACTATTCTCAACCATAAAAAGCAATGTGTTGCATAACTATTTATTCTGGTAAATCCACCTCCAGCATGATAGTTCTATATTCTATGTATTTTTTACATTTGGGGGTTAAAAATACTTGCTAGAAACACATTGAAAATATAAGTGGATTATGGGGCACCTGCCCCATAATTTTTTAATTTCCTAGATGTATAAAAATATTCTACTCATTCAATATGTTCTTTGCTTTTTATCATCCTTCAACTGTCTGAACTGGTCTGGACCCTCACTTTTCTAATTGCAAGGCTGAAAGGTACTTAGCTACTCTGTAGCTGAGGCTCTTTCATGCCTCTGTATTCTTGCCCACGTGCTCCTGCTACCTGGAGCGCTTTTCCTCCACCATCTGGAGAAATCCTATACATCCTTGAAGTCCCAGGTCCATGGTCACCTCCGTGAATGTTTTTCTCCTCCCAAGCAGACATAATTTGTACACTCCC